CACAATTTAATACAAATGAAAAAAAACTATATTTGACATTTAAAAATAAAAACAAAAATTTAATTATAGTTATATTAAATTTCTTTAACAAAATTACCAGTCTTCTATATTTTTTGTTAAATGTCGTAATTATTTGAAAATTTTTATTTACCTATTTTTTTCTAAGCCTTTAGCCAATAAGCATATTTGCACAATTTTTACTATTTAGCTAAGCGTAAAAAGTTTTTCCATTATTAATACATTAAATAGACGTTTTCGATATAACAAACAACAAAAATTATAAATATTTTTATTATCAATTTTTTTTATAAATTGTTATATGTATATTTTTTTAGCTTGTAAGTTAATTTAAAAAAAAAAAACGAAACTATAAATTCTTTAACAAATGTAAACAAAATAAAAATTAAAAAAAATATTTTTTCAAACTGTTTTGAATAAAGCTGGTAAAGTAACGACTATGGCACTTGATTATTAGACATTTTTCAAAAAGCGATTTTTGACTATTAACATTTGAAAACGACCGCTTGATATATAGTTCAAATTCAGGAGAAAACCGTTTAAACCGAAGATGTCCACTGCGATTAGTATTATTTTGGACAAAAAATATTTCATCGAAGCAAAACTACTACTAACTAATAACTAACTAACTAACTAACTAACTAACTAACTAACTAACTACTAACTAACTAACTAACTAACTAACTAACTAACTACTAACTAACTAACTAACTAACTAACTAACTAACTAACTACCTAACTAACTACAACTAACTAACTAACTAACTAACTAACTAACTACTAACTAACTAACTAACTAACTCACTAACAATACTAACTAACTACTAACTAACTACTAACTACTACCTAACTAACTAACTAACTAACTAACTAACTACTAACTAACTACTAACTAACTAACTAACTAACTAACTAACTACAACTAACTAACTAACTAACTAACTACTAACTAACTAACTAACTAACTACTACTAACTAACTAACTAACTACTAACTACTAACTAACTAACTAACTAACTAACTAACTAACTAACTAACTAACTAACTAACTACTAACTAACTAACTAACTAACTAACTAACTAACTAACTACTAACTAACTAACTAACTAACTACTAACTACTAACTAACTAACTACTACTAACTAACTAACTAACTAACTAACTAACTAACTAACTAACTACTAACTAACTACTAACTAACTAACTAACTAACTAACTAACTAACTAACTACTAACTAACTAACTAACTAACTAACTAACTAACTACTAACTAACTAACTAACTAACTACTAACTAACTAACTAACTACTAACTACTAACTAACTAACTACTACTAACTAACTAACTAACTAACTAACTAACTACACTAACTAACTACTAACTAACTAACTAACTACTAACTAACTAACTAACTAACTACTAACTAACTAACTAACTAACTAACTAACTACTAACTAACTAACTATCTAACTAACTAACTAACTACTAACTAACTAACTAACTAACTAACTAACTAACTACTAACTACTAACTAACTAACTAACTAACTAACTAACTAACTAACTAACTAACTAACTAACTAACTAACTAACTAACTAACTAACTAACTAACTAACTAACTAACTAACTACTAACTAACTAACTAACTACTAACTAACTAACTAACTAACTAACTAACTACTAACTAACTAACTAACTACTAACTAACTAACTACTAACTAACTACTAACTAACTAACTAACTAACTAACTACTAACTAACTAACTAACTAAACTAACTAACTAACTAAATACTAACTAACTAACTAACTAACTAACTCAACTACTAACTAACCTAACTAACTAACTAACTAACTAACTACTAACTAACTAACTAACTAACTAACTAACTACTAACTAACTAACTAACTAACTAACTAACTAACTAACTAACTAACTAACTAACTAACTAACTAACTAACTAACTAACTAACTAACTACTAACTACCTAACTAACTACTAACTACTAACTAACTAACTAACTACTAACTAACTAACTAACTACTAACTAACTAACTACTAACTACTAACTAACTACTAACTAACTAACTAACTAACTAACTAACTAACTAACTACTAACTAACTAACTAACTAACTAACTAACTAACTAACTAACTAACTAACTAACTAACTAACTAACTAACTAACTAACTAACTAACTACTAACTAACTAACTACTAACTAACTAACTAACTAACTAACTACTACTAACTAACTAACTAACTAACTAACTAACTACTAACTAACTAACTAACTAACTACCTAACTAACTAACTAACTAACTAACTAACTAACTAACTAACTAAACTAACTAACTTAACTAACTAACTAACTAACTAACTACTAACTAACTAACTAACTAACTAACTAACTAACTAACTAACTAACTAACTACTAACTAACTAACTAACCTAACTACTAACTACTACAACTAACTAACTAACTAACTAACTAACTAACTAACTACTAACTAACTAACTACTAACTACTAACTACTAACTAACTAACTAACTACTAACTAACTAACTAACTAACTAACTAACTCACTAACTAACTAACTAACTAACTAACTAACTAACTAACTAACTAACTAACTAACTAACTAACTAACTAACTAACTACTAACTAACTACTAACTAACTAACTAACTAACTAACTAACTACTAACTAACTACTAACTAACTAACTAACTACTAACTAACTACTAACTAACTAACTAACTAACTAATTTTCACAAAACCTAACTAACTACCAATTTTCACAAAACCTTGTTTTTTTTACAAATTTTCTTGTTATAGAAAATTTTCACAAAATTTCTTGTTATAGAAAATTTTCACAAATATTCTTGTTATACAAAATTTTCACAAATTTTCTTGTTATAGAAAATTTTCACAAAATTTTCTTGTTATAGAAATTTTCACAAATTTTCTTGTTATAGAAAATTTTCACAAAATTTTCTTGTTATAGAAAATTTTCACAAAATTTTCTTGTTATAGAAAATTTTCACAAAATTTTCTTGTTATAGAAAATTTTCACAAAATTTTCTTGTTATAGAAATTTTCACAAAATTTTCTTGTTATAGAAATTTTCACAAAATTTTCTTGTTATAGAAAATTTTCACAAAATTTTCTTGTTATAGAAATTTTCACAAAATTTTCTTGTTATAGAAAATTTTCACAAATTTTCTTGTTATAGAAAATTTTCACAAAATTTTCCTGTTATAGAAAATTTTCACAAAATTTTCTTGTTATAGAAAATTTTCACAAAATTTTCTTGTTATAGAAAATTTTCACAAAATTTTCTTGTTATAGAAAATTTTCACAAAATTTTCTTGTTATAGAAAATTTTCACAAAATTTCCTCTTATAGAAAATTTTCACAAAATTTTCCTGTTATAGAAAATTTTCACAAAATTTTCTAGTTATAGAAAATTTTCACAAATTTTTTAGTTATAGAAAATTTTAACAAAATTTTTTAGTTATATAAATTTCACAAAATTTTTTAGTTATATAAAATTTTCACAACATTTTCTTTTTATAGAAGATTTTCTCAAAATTTTCTTTTTATAGAAGATTTTTCGAAATATTCGTTTATATAGAAAGTTTTCTCATAATTTCTTTTTGTAGAAAATTTTCTCAAAAATTTTCTTTTTTTATAGAAAATTTTCTCAAATTTCTTTTTTTATAGAAAATTTTTATATAAAGTTTTCTCAAAATGTTTTTTTATAGAAAGTTTTTATAAAATTTTCTTGTTATAGAAAATTTTCATAATATTTACTTGTTATAGAAAGTTTCATAATATTTTCTTGTTATAGGAAGTTTTCATAAAAATTTTCTTGTTATAGAAAATTTTCATAAAATATTCACTAAACCTTCTTGTTATAGAAAGAAAAATTTCTATACAAATTTTTTATTGAGAAATTAAAAAATTAATTACAAAATCCTTAGTTCAAATAAGTTTTATTAATTTTTATAACAATATCTTAAGATTTTCCTCAAATGTGTTTTACGTTTCAGGGGTAAAATTCCCAATGATTCAAATAATTCATCGGGAGCTGAATAAGAAAGATTACCAATATCATGAGTGGTAAACAGCTCAGCAGAGGAGGAACCTGTAACAAATTCAAAAGTAAACAATAATTATTGGGTTATTTAAATTAAAAAGTAATTTGCATAAAAATTTACGATATTCAACTTACCAAAATTATCAAAACACATGTAGCTCTTTAAACCCCCTTCAAATCTATAGCAGGGTGTTGTACCTATTGTCACGGGTACGGATAACTAATTAAGCTTTCTTATAGCCATTAATTAAAATCGCTTCCAATGTGTATTCTATACTGAACACTAATTCAGGGTCATTTTTGATAGTAGAAATCTGGCTATGAAGGGGTATATTGACATGTGATGTGCATTCACATGACAGATGTTTTCATAATTAATAATTTGTTTAATTTGTTTAAATTTATTGCTGGGGCTTTGTGGTGTGTGACATGTGGTAAAACAATTTAATTGAATTAATAATTTACAATCGGGTTGTGTTGTTCGATACTTAATGTGATAGGGAACTTTTGCCCTGGAGTAAAACCACTGCAGGGTATTTGTAAGTTAATTTGACCAAATTCATTGTGACAATAAGCCACACAAGGCTGCAAGAAAGGCGAGAGGACATGATAAAAGGTGAAGGAACATATACATATATTTTTGTGTATTAATAAAACAAAACGATAACAGGTATTGTTGTGTTTTACAAAAATTTTCTTGTTTTGTTATGAACTTTTGTAATAAAATTCATTACCCAACTTACCTCTTGGTATTTGATATCTTTTGTTAAATCCAGTTTATTTTAACAACAATTCTTTGGTGAAATTCTTTATTAACTTTCTTTGCATGTTGCATTTGCAGTCTCAAACCATACTCAGTTTCTCCATATCGACAGCGATATGTTGCTGGCGCTTGTTGGGGTATTGTGAAACAAAATCTGTATGTATATTCAACATGTGGCTGCAGCAGTTGTTTGCAGTTCAATGAATCCAGTTTAAGTTGTTCGCAAACATGTTTTTGCTGCTGGTTGTAAAGTGTTTTGTCTGATGCTACTATCTCATGGGTACTGAAGTCATTGTGCATTATATTTTCCTTAGTTTTATCTAATTCCCACCATTGTATCGTAGTTTGGCCATAAAATTCGAGTATAATTGCTGCAAATAGTAAAGTAATGTTATAAATATAAAAATCTAATTTAATGTGAAGACCATAAAGAAACAAGAAGGCTGGAAAAAATATACTTATTGTATATATATATTAGATATGGAGTAATAAACATAAACAATATTTTATCTAATCTAAGATTGTGTTCACACTTTTGGCTAACATCACAATTAACTATATTAAAATTAAATTTAATGGAAACGTTTATGAAGAGTGAATACGAATATGATCTATACTACTTCGTTGTCCAATAATTTTCTTTATACCAAGCAAATTATCTTGAAAATTGCCGCAAAGACGGACAGACACACGACAGACAGACAGACAGACAGACAGACAGACAGACAGACAGACAGACATACAGGCAGATCCTGAACCGATTATTGAGATCAATTCGAACGTCGATTTCTAGTAAAGGATTTCTACCACTTCGTTGTCCAATAATTCATACCAATCTTGAAAATTGCCAAACAGACGGAATGCCACACGGCAGACAGACAGACGGACAGACAGACAGACAGACAGACAGACATAGCTAAATCGACTCAGATAGGGATCATGCACCGATTAGTGATATCAATTTCTAGTTAAGGAGCTTTAATGAATCTCCAACACCTAACACATCCTCCTTCTTAAAAAATATGCATTTGTATATCATCACAGTATAACATTTACTTTCCCATGAAGAAATCAATAATATGATCCTTAAATTTGTAGCACAACTCTCTTACACAGTTATGTTTACAATTTTGTTTACTTATACTCGATATTTGATACAACGTCGATCGACCAAACTCCCACCCATTAACTCACCTTCTATCTGACGCTGTTTTACACTACATATTGTTAATGAACCCGCCACTTCTTCACCGCCATAATAGATATTGGCAATGCGTGACAACTGAAATTTACATGTAATTGACATTTTATGCCAATAATAACAATAATTTAATTTTCCACTTAAATCAAATAATATTTCACAGAATTTTGCTAAATTGCACGTTTATTATATGTAATTGATGAAATGACAAAATTTCGGAAAATTTTCCACACACAAATAGGAGGAACAGACAGGCGGCAACCGATATGACACAACCGAAATCTGTATTGATGGTTGAACGCTTGAAATGAGACTGTTGCAAATCAAGCAGAAAAACATCCACTTGACTTTCTTTGGCCGGTTGTTGTTTCTCAGATTTTTTTTGTTTCGCTTCGAATGGGCTTGTAAGTAAAATCGCAGTTGTGTTTTTGTTTAGTTTGTTGCCGTTTGATGTTTTATTTTAAGAGGACTGTATGTTTTACTTGTAAACAGTTGCTTATTTTTTATTTCTTCTCATATAATCAGATTTTTATAATTTGTTGAACAAAAAAGCGGTTATAATGTTTTGTTTTGTTTATAATGATAAGCTGTTAAAATAAATACTACCGAGTTTTTGTTTGTTAACAAAAATAAATATTTGTAAAAGATAATTTTAAGTTTTATTTCTCGTTTATAAATTATAAAGATTTATAATGGATAAAAAATGAATTTGAACATCTTAGGTTATCTTATAGGACCTGGTATGCACATAAAGAAAGTAGCTTTGTCATCTTTTCCTGTATACTCGTGGAACAATTTGTTAAATTGTTTTTTTGTAACCTACATCACAATATGCTATTTGAATAGTTCACGCTTGACTATACTTCTTCTAACTAAATTGTTTGAAATAAGTTTCTTTTAAAAATACCAAATGTGTAGAAACTGTTTTGGTTACTCTAAGTAATTAAACGTATACAAATTTGGAACTATTGGGTCAATAGTATTGGCACATACCTACCAAATATACCAGTTTGGAAAATCTAGTAAAGTAGTGTTTGGCTTATTCGTATTTCTTAAAGGTTTAATTACATATATCTAAATAAAATACTAAACGTTTAGTTTATGATCTGATATCCTACAGTTAACAACTGTTAGCAACAAGAAACTTTAATGAATAATGAATGATATCATGGGTTCGCCTTTAACTAACTAACTAACTAACTCACTAACTAACTAACTAACTAATAACTAACTAACTACTAACTAACTACTAACTAACTAACTAACTAACTAACTAACTAACTAACTAACTAACTAACTAACTAACTAACTAACTACTAACTAACTAACTACACTAACTAACTAACTAACTAACTAACTAACTAACTAACTAACTAACTAACTAACTAACTAACTAACTAACTAACTAACTAACTACACTAACTACTAACTAACTAACTAACTAAACTAACTAACTAACTACTAACTAACTAACTACTAACTACTAACTAACTAACTAACACTAACTAACTAACTAACTAACTAACTAACTACTAACTAACTACTAACTAACTAACTAACTAACTAACTAACTAACTAACTAACTAACTAACTAACTAACTAACTACTAACTAACTAACTAACTAACTACTAACTAACTAAAACTAACTAACTAACTAACTAACTCTAACTAACTAACTACTAACTAACTAACTAACTAACTAACTACTAACTAACTAACTAACTAACTAACTACTAACTACTAACTAACTAACTAACTAACTACTAACTAACTACTAACTAACTAACTAACTAACTACTAACTAACTACTAACTAACTAACTAACTAACTAACACTAACTACTAACTAACTACTAACTACTAACTAACTAACTAACTAACTACTAACTAACTAACTACTAACTAACTAACTAACTAACTAAACTACTAACTAACTAACTAACTACTAACTAACTACTAACTAACTAACTAACTAACTAACTAACTAACTAACTAACTAACTACTAACTAACTAACTAACTAACTAACTACTAACTAACTAACTACTAACTAACTAACTAACCTAACTAACTAACTAAACTAACTAACTAACTAACTACTAACTAACTACTAACTACTAACTAACTAACTAACTAACTAACTAACTAACTAACTAACTAACTAACTAACTAACTAACTAACTACTAACTAACTAACTAACTAACTACTAACTAACTAACTAACTAACTAACTAACTAACTAACTAACTAACTAACTAACTAACTAACTAACTAACTAACTAACTACTAACTAACTAACTAACTAACTAACTAACTAACTAACTAACTAACTAACTAACACTAACTAACTAACTAACTAACTAACTACTACTAACTAACTAAACTAACTAACTAACTAACTAACTACTAACTAACTAACTAACTAACTAACTAACTAACTAACTAACGAACTACTATAACACTAACATAACTAGACTACTACTAACTACTACTAACTACTAACTAACTAACGAACTAAACTACCTAACTAACTAACTAACTAACACTAACTAACTAACAACTAACTAACTACTAACTACTAACTAACTAACTAACTAACTAACTAATAGGCTTTTGACCTCATAACTATGTTAACTGTCCTAGTGTCTCTATGCAAAATTGCCAAATTTAGTTTTATATAAGTTTAATTATTGCCGATTTTCGTAATGATTTGACTCTAGCCCCACCACACAACGTACCCTCCAGAAAATTACTTGAAACTACTACACAATTCACTAAAAATACTGGTATCACGATGAAATTCGGTACAAATAACTTTTATATAAACGTAAATCCCACCAGTGAATTTTGAACGGCTCGGCCAAATTATTGTCCTAACCGCTATACAACTAGACCATCCGATTTGGAACATTTTAGCTGCAGTAACTGCACAACTGAGACTTATATAAGCGCCTAAAGTGACCCTAGCCCTCATACAAAGTGTCCATCTCTGAAAATTAGTTTAATGTTTTTTTAACTTAAGCCTTTTTGCTTAATTGTAAGTATAATTTATCTTCTATTGAACATAAAATTTTTAGAAATTTCCACATATACTTAAAAACAATTGACAGTTAAATACTTAGTTCATTTACTTTTGAAGCACATGACCTGACTACCAATAAAACGTATTAAACCAAAATAGTATCAAGAATATAAACATACCCTTGCCACAGACACAAGTCAGTCAGGGAGTATGGGTTTCACAAATACATTTATTCATAAATCTAACAAAATAATGAAGGAAAACAAGGATAACAAGCTGCTAAAAAACAGAAGAGGAAAAAACAATTTAAGGAAAATTCATAAGATCTACTTATGTATGTAAGAACGAAGAAGAAAAAACAATTATTTACTACACATGATACTTTTTTAACAACTATACTTTGAAAATATTTAGACAAATTTTTGAATATTACATATCGTGTGTTAAACGAGGTCAAGGTTTACTAATTCAAAATATTCACATCAAGATGGCAAATAAGGATGTAAACTAAGAAACCTACTAACTACAATTATAGTGTCTGTTTGATTTAAAATACAAAACATGACAACAAAAGTTATAAAAACTCTATGGCGCCAACTTATTGATTCCCACAAAAAAGCCAAAAAATTCAAGCAAAAACAAAACAAAAAACTAAAATAAATCCTAGACAATTGAAATGAAAACTACTACAGATTTGAAAATTTGGCAGGATAATAAAACACACAGTTATTTGCAAAGGGATGCTGTAAGAAGAAGGTTGTGTATTTATTTAGAATAAATAAAAATAATAAAATTACAAATTAAATAATAAAAATATTTTAATAATACAAAAAAAAATATTAAAAATAAAATGCCCACTACTTGTACCTTTTGAATTGGATCGTTTAAATCCAATTTATTCTTCTGGTGAATATGTTAATGGACGCATTATACTTAAAACCGATAAAATCAAACGAGTAAATTGTGAGTGCAAAGATTTTCTTTTGTAGTGATGTAATAATTAATTATATTTTATTTTCATTCATTTTAACGCCTCTCAGCTGTCTATGTTACACTGGAGGGCGAGGCCAAGTTCAATGGTCCATTAGTGGCAAAGAAACGGCCAGTTATTGTGGTCGTCAACAGTATTTGTATTCACGTGCCAATGTTTTCGATAACTCCGATTTTGCTGCCGGTAAACATGTTTACGTTTTAACTTTACGCATACCACCCGACTGCCCATCATCCGTTAAGGGTCCTTATGGTTATATAGCTTATAATATTTCTGTGGTCATCGATAAACAGCGGAGTTTTGATGAAGTCTTCCGAAAGCCTATATGTGTAATACAGACCTTGGATTTAAATTTTCATCCGGAATATTCGGTAAGATTAGAAAATTTTTATTTAGTATGAACATTTTCTTTAGAAAATTTATATTTTTAGTTGAAATTTAAAAATTTTAGTTGAAAATATAGAAATTATAGTTGGAAATAGTTTTCAAAGGTAAATGTTTCTCATTTGTATATATGGATGTATAATTAGTCAATCAGTTAGTTAGTTAGTTAGTTAGTTAGTTAGTTAGTTTTAGTTAGTTGTTAGTTAGTTTAGTTAGTTAGTTAGTTAGTTAGTTTAGTTTTAGTAGTTAGTTAGTTGTTAGTTAGTAGTTAGTTAGTAGTTAGTTAGTTTAGTTAGTTAGTTAGTAGTTAGTTAGTTAGTTAGTTAGTTAGTTTTAGTTAGTTAGTTAGTTTAGTTAGTTAGTTAGTTAGTTAGTTAGTTAGTTAGTTAGTTAGTTAGTTAGTTAGTTAGTTAGTTAGTTAGTTAGTTAGTTAGTTAGTTGTTAGTTCGTTAGTTAGTTAGTTAGTTAGTTAGTTAGTTAGTTAGTTAGTTAGTTAGTTAGTTAGTTAGTTAGTTAGTTTTAGTAGTTAGTTAGTTAGTTAGTTAGTTAGTGTAGTTAGTATAGTTAGTAGTTAGTATAGGTAGTTAGTTAGTTAGTATAGTTAGTTAGTTAGTTAGTAGTTAGTTAGTTAGTTAGTTAGTTAGTTAGTTAGTTAGTAGTTAGTAGTTAGTTAGTTAGTGAGTTAGTTAGTTAGTAGTTAGTTAGTTAGTAGTTAGTTAGTTAAGTTAGATTAGTGTAGTTAGTAGTAGTTAGTTAGTTAGTAGTTAGTTAGTTAGTTAGTAGTTAGTTAGTTAGTTAGTTAGTTAGTTAGTTAGTAGTTAGTTAGTTAGTAGTTAGTTAGTTAGTAGTTGTTAGTTAGTTAGTTAGCTTAGTTAGTTAGTTAGTAGTATAGTTAGTTAGTTAGTTAGTAGTAGTAGTTAGTTAGTTAGTTAGTTAGTTAGTTAGTTAGTTAGTTAGTTAGTTAGTTAGTTAGTTAGTTAGTTAGTAGTAGTTAGTTAGTTAGTTAGTTAGTTAGTTAGTATAGTTAGTTAGTAGTTAGTTAGTTAGTTAGTTAGT